CGGCCACGCGCTGCAGGAACCGCGGCAGCCGCGCGCGCAGGCGGCGGCGGCAGCTGCGCGCTGGCAGAGGCAGCGCCGCGGCGTGGCAGCCGCGCACCGACGGCGGTCGCCTGCGGCCACGCGCGGGTAGAGGAAGCCCCGCGCAGGCAGCGGCGTGGCAGCGCCGCACGCGCAAAGGCGGCGATCCAATTTTTTGGTCAAAATTACAGTTTTGACCTAGGGTTTCCCTTTGATCAAATTACATCTTTATCCTTCTGTATTTTATTAATATTCCTTAATTCTTTTGACATATTTACGGTGACTTATTAACATGATATTAGTGACTCGTTATGAGTTTGAATTATATCATAATGATATGAAAATATTTTTTTTAAGATCTAAAGGTTACTCTAAATGATTTACAAAGAAAAATAAAAGAAATATAAAGTTTGGTATGCAAATTCATGAATCTATTTATGAGCTTAAATAAGCTTCAAGATAATAATATATAAAGGTTATTGATACCATTATTTTCAGATTTAAGAAAAATACTATTGATTATTATTTATATCAGTAGAGCAAGTTTATTATATTGGTCTTATATATGGATAATATTTTACCTTATCAATATTGATCTTGGTTTATTAGATTAAATCAAGAAATTTATCACTAAGAGTTTTAAAATGACTGATATGAATGAAACATCTTATATTATTAACATTGAGTAATCTAAAGATAAACCTCAATGATTATGAAAACTGTCTTAGAAAGGATATTTTAATCGAGTCTTGAAAAGATTTAATATATAGCTTTATTCAGTAAATCATAAAAAAAAAATTAGTTAATAGTAAATAATTTAAAATGACTTGAAAAGAATCAGATAAATAAGATATTCTTTATATATGCGTAGTTGGAAGTCTATACTCAAGCCTATGTCGGAACATATATCAGTTTTACAATTAAAATATTGTGTATATATTTGAGTTACCCAGAAGTAAAAAATACTAAAGGACTACAATGAAAGTAATAAGATATCCGGAAGGGATAAAGGATTATATGTTCATATGTATGAAATTATATCAACTTGAAATGATGGTATTTTTCATATGTTGATTTTATAAATTACTTCGATAATAGGAAGTCCACCCTACGATTAATATTTATATCAACTAGAAGGGTAATTTATTATTATTATTAATAGAAGTTGATTTTGTGGCATGCTTCGAAGCCACTGGTCAAACTTTTAGACTGCGAAATTTTATCTTAGAACTTGGTGTAGTTAGACTCAATTACCAAGTCGTTAAAGATATTTTGTGACATTACAGTAATCTTCTTCTCTAAAAATGATAAGTACTATTGCATCTCTATGCATTATGATATAAAGTACTTGATGGTTAGAGAATATGAGTCCAGAAGCATCTAATGTCAATTAATTATTTGAGTTCCGCTGTATTGATTGTTGATCTATTCACTTTGGATTTACAACCTAAAGTATTTTGAAAGAACATGTTCTTTTCATTAGGTTTGTGAGCAACACATAAAGGATACAGTGATGCATATTTAAGTTGATAATATAATTAACATTATTGCTTACGTATTTAAAGTTATTTGTTTTTACTATCATGTTCACAATTATGTATGTACATATTATGGTTGAATGTGATGACAGAATTATCTTGACAAGATAAATTATAAGTGTCATTTTGGACTGCATTATGAAAGGCTAATAGTATTGTGGTACATAGAAGGAAGTGTGACACTGATGGCATACAATCGCTATATGACTCGTATTGTTAATAAGACTTAACGTAGTATTATTATATTTATTGGACTTATTGGCTTATTTTTAAAATTCACGCACGTCTATATAGTTTTTTCTAAAATTTCAGAATTCAATTGGGTCAAATTATTTTTAAATAAATTTAATTTATTTATTTTTGATTTTAAGTCTTTTTTATCTTATCAATTAATGGGCCAAGAATGTTAAATTATATGGTCTTATTTAATTAGATATGATATATTATAGATATGATTGGATTTTGATTATGGTTATTGGCCAATAGAAAATAAGTTCATGTTAAAGTATGATTCCTTATGAGATAACATTGATAGTAGGAACTCTCCTAAATCCATCAATCTATGTGGTCCTGTGAAAAGATAGGAAGAGAGGAGAATGATTTAGTTCTCCTTGCAAATTGATATCTCAGATCCGATGATAGTACGCCTGTATATCAGATAAGGTTTATTCTTCTAAACAACAATAAAAGGTACGCATCGTAATATTGTTATATCTAATTTTATTTGATTTAAATCCGAGCATAATTACATAATTTTATTTGATTTAAATCTAATTTTTCGTATTACAGATAGCATGATTACATATTTTATGCTAACACCAAAGAGCAAGACCTCATCAAATATAAAATAATATATTATGATTTCAAACTCTCAACCTGATATGAGTGTATGAATTGACTGATACCTATGATCGGGTAATCAACTTGATACATAACTAATGATCATCAGGCATTAAGTCAATATCAAAGTCACTGAGATGGTTCCATCTTGCACTGGCCTTTACCGTGGATAAGGTGGCCTAATGTTCTATCCGATGGAGGAAGGGTTGAGTGGTGGAACAATCTCTTCGAAAGAACAACCTTTTTGTAGGGAGCACAAATTTGTCAAATGAGAACCACTATTATCGAAATACTTCGATTAGTCTCACGTTTAAAATAGATAAATTTAAGATTGATTATAGAGATACGATTAGTATATTATTATTAATATTAGTTTAAGTATTTTGATTAGTGATTTAAGTCAAATAAAATTAATAGACCAGTTAACTAATAAAACCCGAGTTATAACATTTTGTATTAGATTTGACATAGTAATTGGGTATGATGATGAGGCTTGAGTAGGAAAAGGCTACATGTGGATATAGTGAGAGTACTCATTATGCCATGGAGCTATTACTGGGTTACGTCTCATATGCACCATGTTAATATTTGATATGGATATACTGGGCCTTGACGAAGGTATTAAGCCTTTGAGTGCAGGAGATTGAAATACTCTAATTAGTATTTTAATTTGATTAATATATTACGAAATTGATAGACTAGCTAACTTATCCGGTTATAATAATTAGTAGATTATGCAGGCAGGAATGTTCTCATTTTCAAGTGTTATCAAGAAATATATATATCTATATAAACAATGAAAAATAATTTCATACTATTCAAATTTATTTTAAATTAATCCTTTTATTACATCATTTATTGGTCACTATGTTTGAAGTGTTTTTTTGGCTAATTTGGTTACATGGAGAATTGATGAATCTGAAATGATCATTTGACTAATTCCTTGTGAATTAATGAGGTCAACAAATTTAAGTAAACAGACACTCCTTATTGTATGGAGCCTCAATCACTTGTTTGGAGGTGAGTGATGATAAGAATTGCGCGTGGAAAGTGGCATGTCCATGCCAAATTGTCAACGCAATCAATTGCAACCTATTAGGATATATGACCACAAAGTGGCATCATGTTTTGTCCCTTGATGGGACTGTTAGAGAGCATATTTTGATCACAAAACAATAGAAAGACCTAAATCCTTAGCTAGAAACCATTCACGTCATAGTTATCAGAACCATTAATTTGGATAGGTTCCACATGATTTTATCCTTTCGAAGTAAACTCAAAAAATAAATATTCTTAAGAGCAAAAGGTGACTTTGACATTTATAAGGTCTAAATTGTCCTACTTCCTAATCTATATGGGATAAAACATAGTTATCATGAATAATATGAGAAAAAAATAATTTTTCTCATCCCACGTGATTTTGTCCTTTATCCATCTCCTCTCCTTTTATATCTTTACATATCTGCTATTTATTTCTTTGGTAACCAATTTTTCTCTTCCACTCATCTCTTTTTTGTTAATGTAAGTTTCAATTTAATTTTAATTTGTATTTTATTATGATATAATTTTGAATTATTTTATATATTTAAAAAAATATTTTAAATTAAATATATTGATCCATCGATTGAAGACCTAAGCTTAGGTGCTGCTTTAATATTGGTATGAGACAACACGAGAACACAGTCTTCATCATGCTTGCTCATGAAGGACCAGTTTGGCAGCCTTTTGATTTCCTATTACTACACCCCTTGCATGTGTAGATACAGCATCAAGCTGGATTGTGTACATTCTCACGTGTAAACAAGAGTAGTAGGTACCATTCATTCGAGATCAATATATCCTCCCCCCATGCGTTTCACATGCGTACGAAAGAGGACCAAAGAACTCGAACATGCACAGAGACGTGTATGGACGAAACACAGCAGCCTCACACCTTTTATCATTGCCTGTGGTTCATATTTTAGTGTCGCAATCATGCTGTGTATGTGTTGGATATGACTACCTTCGAAACAATATTACTCTCCCTGACTTCATTATTGGGTGGTTGAGACTACCCTCTGGGAAAAGGCAGGTTGTCTTGTTGTCATTGATGGCCGGAGCTGTGAATTCTGGATTAGGGTTGTAGAGAATCGAGACTTTTCCTTCTCTCTTCTCCACAATAATAATATTGTAGTTGTTCGGCATAGCACGTGATCGAGAAGACGTCACGTTGTTTGATTGATGGAGTATTAAGTCTTCTTCTTCCGCTTCAGGTTCTCATCTCTCTAGCCGTGGGTTCATCATATCCTTGACTGCAACAAAGTCGCCCACCAACCATAAGAACCTGTAGCTGCTGCTGCGCAAAGGGGAGGTGTCTTTGCAGCCATGGCGTCGTCGTCCCCGTTGCTGCAAGCCTACGGTGGCGGCGAGAAGGGAGGGCCGTGGTGGAGGAGGCTGATCGATGTGGGAGAGGCCAAGGCGCAGCTCCTCTTCGCCTTCCCCATGATCCTCACCAACGTCTCCTACTACGCCATCACCCTCATCTCCGTCATGTTCGCCGGCCATCTCGGCGACGTCGAGCTCGCCGGCGCCACCCTCGGCAACTCCTGGGGCACCGTCACCGGATTAGCCCTCATGGTATGTCTTAATGTATCGATCGAAGCCTTCTTGCTTTGCCCTTGCACCATGACTCGGAGGCCTCGCCTCCTTTCTTCTGCTTGATCTATCCATGTGATTCCTTTCGGTAGATGTAGTCCACAGATCTCGAAGCCCCCATGTGATTCACATGGTTCGTCAACAAAGCAGATCTCTTGCCTTGTACTCGACCAACTCCGATCCACTAACCCTTGCTGTCCTTGGAAATCATCTTTGATCATAAGTTCATATACATGATATTAAGACTTATCTTTCTCTGGACTCATCATGTATTAGGATAATTTACTGTGATCTAATGCTACTCGGTTGTGCAGACTGGGTTGAGTGGGGCACTGGAGACACTCTGTGGTCAAGGATATGGTGCCAAGTTGTACCGAATGCTTGGAATCTACTTGCAGTCGTCGGTCCTCATATCCACCTTCTTCTCCATCTTCATCTCCATCCTGTGGTGGTACTCAGAATCCATACTGATCTGGCTGCATCAGGAGCCCCAAGTGGCCAGGATGGCCGCACTTTACCTCAGGTATCTGATTCCAGGCCTCTTCGCGTACGGTTCCCTGCAATGCATGCTGAGGTTTCTCCAGACCCAAACCGTGGTGATTCCCCTGGTCGTGTGCTCCGTGGTTCCACTGGTCGTCCATGTCGCCTTGACCTACGTCACAGTCCATGTCCTCGGCCTTGGGTTCAAAGGCACAGCGCTCTCCGGATCGATATCGTTGTGGATATCTTTCTTGATGTTGGCACTCTACGTGAGGTACTCTGATAAGTTCAGATACACTTGGGAAGGTTTCTCTGCGGAGGCATTTCATCAAGTGTTGCCTTGCATGAAGTTAGCCGTTCCCTCAGCTGTGATGGTGTGGTCAGTGTTCGGTGACCTTTTAGCTCATCGTCTTGTGCAAATTCCCCCAGATATAGTGTTCATGTTTCTTGTGATGATCTCTGTGATTTCAGCTTCGAGTACTGGGCGTTTGAGATTTTGGTTCTGCTCGCCGGCCTCTTGCCGAACTCGGAACTGAGCACTTCACTGATCGCCATGTGGTATGACTCCATCACCTTTCGATCCATGTGATCGGAACATGCCCTCGCCCGTAGCTGTAGAATCTGACGAGCTTTGCATTTCTTGCAGCGTGAATACGGAAGCAATTGCGTTCATGGTCACTTACGGATTCAGCGCAGCTGTGAGGTGACTCCGATCCTTCTGCCACTTCAATTAGACGAGCCATTGAATCTGTAATCTGAACTGCGAATCTGCTCTGCAGCACACGGGTGTCGAACGAGATCGGTGCCGGGAACATCGAGAAGGCAAAGAACGCTGTCTCTGTGACGCTGAAGCTTGCTGTGTTTCTTGGGATCACGATCGTCCTCGTACTGGCCTTCGGCCATAATCTGTGGGCAAGCCTTTTCAGCAGCAGCCATGAGATCATACGGGCATTTGCTTACATGACTCCCCTGCTCACAGTCTCTATAGTTCTGGACTCAGCTCAAGGAGTCTTGTCAGGTATGTTGAGTTGCAATCTCGACTCATCTTTCTTCTCCGTCTCATCCTCATGAGCTTGTGAGATCAATGGATTTGCAGGAGTCGCGAGAGGCTGCGGTTGGCAGCACTTAGCAGCATGGACTAACCTCGTAGCATTTTATGTGATCGGCATGCCATTGGCACTTCTCTTCAGCTTCAAGTTGGGTTTCCATGATAAGGTGAGCATCTCCTGCCATGAGTTCTATTAGGATTTGTAGAGCATTCAATCAATTCGACGTTGCTGTTCATTGCAGGGATTATGGCTAGGATTGATCTGTGGCCTCTTCTGCCAGACCTGCACACTCGTAGTTCTCACTCTTCGCACAAAATGGAACAGAGTGCAGCTCTCGGACAGGGATGGAGAGAGTAATGTGCTTGTTTAGGATGACCAGCAATGAACTCAGAACAGTTCATGCTACATATTCATATCAGCGGAGTATTTTTCCTATTGTTTTTGGAGAAAGACTGGATTTATCTTCTTGCAACCTTGGAATATTTTTGTGTCTAATCATCCTTTGATTCAGCAAATGCATGTTATATGTTAGTGCAGCATAGGGATATCCTCATCAATTCCTAAAGTTACTTCTCATGACATGATTGATGTATTGGATTTTAAGAACAGAGGAACTTTCCATATCGTTGGGGCTTTGCTCGTTATAGATCTTTTCAATGCACTCTAACCTAGTTTACTGAAATTTTTACTCTCGTAGTAAACAATTAACACCAACAAAAAGACAACACCAAATGAAATTTAATTCATATTTCACCACACGTAATCAATAGGTCTGATATGATCATTGATTTTGACTAATTGATGCATAGAATATAGTTAGTGTATACTAGACATGTCACGTTAGCTACCGCTACCTAAGATAACGAAGAGTCTATTGGACATTTTATGTCTGTAGCGCATCTAAGAAAATATTCTCTCATTAAACATATAGTTATATGATTGACGATGATGTATAAACATAGCCTCCTCGGATATATGAGAATTCAAAATAAACTAAACGAATACTTAAGCTTGCAAACATATATGCTCACAAACATGTACTTATCTTTCTCCTGTCTCGATCACATCCATTACAATCGTTAAAAGAATTCGAACTTCACTTCATCAATAGTCGTCACACAAAGAAGTCTATAGCAATATTATTGACCGTTCATGATATTTTATGTATTCATAAATGACTTAAAATCATCATGATTCTTCTAGTTGCTAGTTAAGAAGCCTCTAATAATATTTCTTGAACTATTTCAAGAGATGAATTGATACATAATAACCAAAGTTTTTTTATGTCGAAGAAAAAAATAATAACATTAAAAAATGATAGAGATAAATAATCTATAAAACTTTAGCATTCCTAATTTCATGATGTCAAGTCGGGCAACTTATGCAAAGATTATAAAACATTTTGAAATCAAAAGAAATTCACGCACATGTTCTCTTGACTAACTCGATTCAAGCCCAACTGAGTTAATTGAGTTCAACTAACTTAGGTTAGGTCAAATTACTCACCAACGCATGTCGAGCTCACATGCGCATGATGCTCGACCAAGCTAGGTCTAAGTAAAACCATCCCAACTAACTTAAGCTGAGTTGATTTATGATAGTTGACCCAAGCCAAGCTTGCTTGACTTAACCAGCTCATGTTGGGTATAACTAGTCACACTTCAACCAACATAGGTTAACTGGACTTGGTCGAACCGATCAACATGGGTCTAACTTAGCCCATCTGACTAGCCCAAGTCAAGTAAGACTAGCCCAATTAGCTCAAATTAGGCTCGTAGCCTGGTTTGACCCCAAGTCCACCTTCGACATAAAATAATCCGAAACACTTGATGCAACTAACATATCCCCTTTATATGTGATATATTTGCCCATAACATAAAAGAATTTGAAACACCTAATGATGTGTCTCCTTTGGACATTATAAGTCTGTCTGTTAAAAAATTATTTAAAGTATTTTATTCAACATAAGGCATACGGGCTATGTATGTCTAGGAGAAAGAAATATTTGAACACATCTCATAGTGTTCATTTTGCACTTAACATATTCATATAGGATAAAGCATTTGAAGCACTTGATGCATCAAAATTTTTCACTAGTCCATAATATGTTCACTTATAAGGAAATAATCAAAGTGCAACTTAGCCATTTTTGAATATAGGTTCCAATGATCAAGTTCTCAAAACTTATACTTTAGGTTGAACAATTTCTTACTCCAAGCATAATGGGAGGGGAGGGGGTATGATTATTATTTTCGATCAATTGAAACTTGATATAAAATCTAATCAACACATACTACACACACCATGCTAGCTACCAATAATTACTAAGACCCTCTTGCCATCCCATACTAATAGAATATCTAAATTAAGTATTCTCTCATTAAATCAGTTATTACAAGAATACTATTATATAAAGTAGTATTCTCAAATAAGGTTTCTATTAGTTCTTGAGTCTCATTGACTAAAGAGTCAACACAGCCCGATTTAGTCCCGAAAGCATGGATCGAAGCTCAAGCAGATCCCTTGGGTGACAAGTAGACTCATGAGGCTTTGCTGACTTATGACGATCGATCCATGGTTCCTCTGTGGCGTGATTCATCTATTTAAGAAAATTCAAAGTCGTCCCAAGGTGCTCCTTAGACTTGTCTAGTGATGTTCTGCGTCATCTCGAGGTGCTCCTTAGATGCGTCAGGATCCTGCACAATTGATCAGCGTCAGGGGATTTTCCAACCCGATCCCTCCGATGCTTAAGTTAGTAAAAAAAATGAAAAAGATTTAGTAGAGCTCAGGAGAGTTTTGATTGAGTCCTCTCTCATTTCCCTATTTAGGATGTATTTTTATACCTTGAAGGAAGGAAATAAAGGTTGTGATATCTTTCCTTGTCAAAAAGGAAGAAAAAAGAGTTTAGGATTATTTTTCATGTCATAAATGAAGAGAAGAGAGTTTAGGATTACTTGTCGTAAAGGAAGAGAAGAAATCTTGTGTTTCTTTGTTTTGAATATTTGTATTTGTAGGCGGATGGCTTGGATGACACATGACGATTGTGTGTCAACTGTTGATAAATTCCCTATCAGTTTCAAAACAAACTAAATGAACACTTATGAGCTTTAGATGGTCATGGACCAATGCTAGATTGACAATCAAAGATATTTTACTAAACAAACTTTTAGTGTAGATCTTTTGTGAGAAGGATATGGGATACAAAAATCTTTCACTCTCGAACTCAAATGAGATAAGGGACATGAGATGGATATGTTTCTCGTTTTCAAAAAAAATTCTCCCTCTTGAATATCGGAATGTTAATAGGGCAGGATGGGATAGGGAATGCTTCCCCCACCCCCATCCCCGTCTCATTCCCTATCCCCCATCCCTACCCAATTACCCATTTAGACGGGGCGAGGTGGGGATGAGGAATCCTCATTCGAGCAAGAAAACTACGAGTTCTTTGTATCATCCTAATTAGTTTATTTATTTATTTTTTAAACAATACTATTATCAAATCTAATTAAGCATATTAAAATTTACATAATAAAAGATAAATATATTCAAATATAAATATAATCAAAATTATTATAATCTGCGGGAGAGATAGTAGGAAGATAGAGGATCGGGGAAAGGCATATGGGAGTGGGTGAAGGTTGTGACGGCTAATGAGGTGGGGCTGCAGGGTGGACAGGGGTGTTGCGATAAAAGGGGAAGTTAGGAAGAAGGAGGAGAGAGTGTGTGATGGGATGAGAAGGAGAAAGTGAGACAAATACCGAGGAATCATCGTCACCATTTAGTGTTTGATATTTGTAGTCACTAATTGTCGGAGGAATCACTGTTTGCTAATGAAAAAAGGATGAAAACTAATGAAGATAAAGTCAAACAATCGTCATAATGTCATCTAAAATTAGGGATTGGGTGCACATAGTGCATAAGGCCATAAGGAGTTATTATTATTGAATTAAGGTGTGATAAGTATACTATTATCAATTTCAATTTGAATATTTTGTCCAATGGTTTGGACCAAACAAAGTTGATAGGCCAGTTAGCCCATCAAGCTCTTATCGTGACATTCATATTATGAATATTATAATATTTAAAAAAAATAAATTATTAAATATTTAATTGGAGATATCAATTATATCCACAAATTATGAGTTATGAGTATAGACGAAGACCCACCCCTAATGGGCAACGATAGAATAGATATTGTCATTTTACTTCTCAAATTAGGTTGAATATTTTTGGACTGTAAACTAGTTTAAGCTAGAAATTAGAAGTTGGAGCTATAAATTTTGAAGTAGGTATGTTACTTAATAAGTTGTGAGCTTGTCCTCATTTTCGAGGAAATAGATATGGTAATTTTATTTCGATTAAGTATCTTTGGAAAAGTATTCTAATAATTAAGGCATAATGTTTGTAGCCTACATCTTAGAAATCTGAATCCTCATATCATATATCCTTCAAGTAAAATTTAGCTATTTGTTTCCGCATAAATCTCTTCTTGCGATTAACTTATTTCAGTAAAATCTTCGCAGCTCAGATAATTGCATATAAAATGTTCCGCGACACGTGGAAAGCATGACAACAGATTTGGCACTACAACTCCTTATTCATCTCCTTCTCATTCACTGCATGAACCGAAGACATCCATGAACAGCTACAACACAGTGACTCATCTGCATCAATACTCGTTGACAAAGTTGCAGTTGGTTCTGATCTCCCCCTCGTCCCCCTCGAGCACCATGGTGTCGGCCAGGTTCTTCATGGACCTGGCAAACTGATGCACGAAGACCATCGGCTGAGAGCTCAACGCCGCCACCAGCGGCCCCGTCCTGGAGTCGGAGTGCAGCAGCTGATCAGTCGACAGCAGCCCCATCCTGTTGTCGAGGTTCCGGTAGTATGCGTTGTCGAACTTGGTTGGGGTGGTGGCGTCGAGGTCGACGTAGGCGGACGGCCACCGGCACTTCCTCTTCAGGTAGTTCAAGTACCTGGGGTTGATGGACGGATCGGACTTGCTCGGGACACCTGTGTAGTTGTAGAGCCTGTACTGTATCGACTGGCACGTTGCTCGTCCGACGGTGTGAGCTCCTGCGTGGTTGCCGCAGCAAGAAGACGAGATGGCTCTCACGTTCCATTGCTGTAAGTGTGGATGAGAGGGGTGGATATGGTGGCGTGTTTACCTGAAAGGACCACCAGGTCGAGGATGTCCAAGCCCATTGACTCGAAGATATCGATCAGGTGGGTGATGCTCTCACGGCCCTTGGGAAGGGCTTCAGCTTGCTGTGCAATGGAAACGCGTCCGTCTCTTCGGCCATAGACGTTCCCCCAGTATGGCCCTCCGACCTGCATGCATGCATGCCCGTCGTTTCACGCACGGCAACTTCGATCTAAATCGCAAAGGAAGAAGATGGAGTAGTCGGCGTCAGTACCATAAGAGTGGCATCCCTCGCTGCAGCCACGAGTATGTCGGCGCAGGAGACGGTCTTGGGGCACCGCCTCTCGATCTCCGCCTTGATGTCGTCGATCACGTGGAAGCCCCTCAGCGTCGCGCTCACTGGCGACCGCCTCTCCCCTCCCGGGTTGTCGAGCAAGATGGAAGCGTCGCATCCCTGCACCCAACCATCCATCGACCCATC